TTGTTTATTTTGGCACCAGGGATCGAACTCCAAACTCGGGCCCCTATGCTTGCAAGAGGCAGGCGGCAGAACCACCCAGCCCAGGGGTATTTATTTTAAATAAACATACACAAGCATTTTAAATAAAGACAAGTAAAGTGGGAGGGAGCACCCAGGTCCGCAAGATGAGACAAGCTTAGTGAATACGCAGCGAGGCTTGTGGGCCCCGCAGGCAGAGCCAGACATCAACAGGTGTCTGTGGCCGCTGTGCATCTGTTGTGTGTCCCTGTTGCTCCAGAAAATTTTATTCCCTCTCAGGCACATTTCTTTGGTCTCTTATTTGCAATTCTTGTCAGATAATAAGTGTGTGATACTTTTAAGGATTATGGTTGTCACAGATCAAGAATTCTCGACAGTAATAGAGACTGGCTTAATCACTAAGCTATCAGAACACGCTTAAAAATTGACTCCTCTGTTACCTATCCAGTTGCTACAAAGTCAAAGGATTTACTTCCCAGTCCGAAATCCTGTTGACCAAACTCAGCATGTTTTTCATGGGTTTGATGTCAGGTAATTGTCTCTAATATACTTTTCTGCACTCTTGAGAATGATCTAGTTAAATGTTTAAATACCTATTTTTAAAATTTGAACTAAAATATATATTGGTTTGTTAATTAGGAGGACACTGGAGAGTTGGCTGGAAAAAGGTGTAACTTTGATAAGTGGTTATTTAAAAATAAGGGCGTTTACATCACATTTAACTTTCTTAGTGTTGTCCGATTTAAATTATATACTTTAGAGGACACAATCTAAAATTTCCACCTGTTTATTACCAAATCCAATATTCCACATTAAGTTCACTCAAGATGTGGTGCAGTGAGTATAAACATTTTTATGTGATGCCAAGTACAGTGTGCACAAAGGATAATTTATTTTTTAATTTGCTATCTATTATTAGACTTCTAATTACTTAGGCTAAATGGAAGCAGAAAGGTCTCATTCTTATAACAACTGCTAATTATTTAGCCAAAAGTGACAGGGAGGAATTCACTTTAGGTAGCTTGGACTGATGAAGTAACATTTCTTTCTAAAGAGTTCTAACCCTACTTACTTTGTTGTTGTTTGTTTGTTTTATAACCTCAGTTTCCCCATATTTAATTATTCTAACAGAACAAGCAGTTTAACAAATACAGTACCTAGAAATGACTTGGTCTTTTGTGCCCCCGTGCCCATGTGTTCCTCACTGAGAAAAATCAGGATTCACTGTGCTTATGAAAGAAATCTATAGAACAGATTTATATTCTGTGGAATATTTTTATTAATATCAAGAATTTCTAGACAACTTTGAATTCACCTACTTTAAATTTCTTGTCATATCGCCCTGGAGAAAGAATGTACAATTCTATTTCCCTAATGAGGTAAATTTGCTTGAAAAGTAAAATTTTCATTACAGTATCTTACGTGGCATTCTTGAAAAGATACAAAATTTTTTTCATTCTCTTTCAAAGTCTTAAGGCTGTTCAATTCCAAAATGACTAATTACTGCAGTGATAATATATCATTCTCTTTTTAATAATCTGACAATTATACTGCCCTCAAGAGACCTCAGTTTATGTGTTTTGTTGGGAATGCAGAAGATTTTTATTTCTCACTACGGGAGTTGCTCTAGTTGTAGTTGGAGGGCGATACAAAGCCAGGAATGTGTGGAACTCATGGGATTCTGCCTGGGTTTGTGGAGGAAGAGATTCAGCTTCTCATGGGAGAAAGAATTCATGTTAAAGCAGTGGACAGCTTCTTTCATGTGCCAGGTGCAATGCTGAGTACTTCAGTTGTATTATTTCATTTATTCCTCATAATCCTCTAGAACAGCATCCCTGCTTCCATTTCTGTGAACACTGGAAACCTAAATCTGGTGAGGAGTGAGTTTTAATGAGAACTCCCCAACCGCAGACCAGGCCAAGTGCAGTTTGCTCAGAAGCATAGAGCTGCTTGGTAGAATGCTGAGGTTTAATACTGCTTCTTTGATTCTCCAATGGACTTGCAGTTTGAAATAGGGAGTAAAATATGGAAACCATATTCAGTGTACCTGATCACACTACTTAACGCACAAACTGAGTTTTCAAAATGTGTTTTTTGGATAATAGTCCTTTTGTAGTAACTGACCAGGGTGTAACATATGTTCCATACCTACTCTACTTGATTTCCTCATGAATAGGTCCTTAATGCCAGGGCATAGCTTGAGTCAAAATTAAATTCAGGCCTCCACTTTTTAAAATAAAGGGTTTAGGCTGGGCGTGGTGGTGCACACCTGTAATCACAGCACATGGGAGGCTCAGGCAGGAGGATTGTCTTGAGTTTGAGGCCAGCTTGCACTACATAGTGAGATCTTGTCTCATAAAACCCAAAATTAAAAACAAAAGGTGTAGAAGGTTGGGAGGTGGCTTTCCCCCTTTTGTCCCATGAAAGCCACTGCCTGAGAAATCATGGCTCCAGTATAGGAGTGCCTTTTGATAGCATTGCAGTAAAATACAAGAGCTAACCTGGAAAGTCAAGAGTTTGGTCTATGTCCTTAGCTTCCAAGTCAATGGATTCAATTATTTGTGGGCTGAAAACATTTGGGGAAAAAATAGATTTGTACTGAACATGTGCAGGCCTCCCTCATTATTTTCTAAGCTATGCAGTCAATAGCCATTTCAGAGCATTTACATTGTACTAGGTGGTCTAATCTAGAGATGATTGAAAGTATACAGGAGGAGTGTGGCGGTTCTATGCATATGCTGTGCTATTTCATCTAAGAAACTTGGGCATCTGTGGATTTTGATAGCTGCAGAGTCCTGGAACCAGTCTCCCTCAGATACTGAGGGGCAGCTCTGTGCTTGAGCTGAGAATTGTATTAAGAACTCAAAACAATCAGCCCCCCCCAAATATAAAGACCCGATTCAAAAATGGGCATCCGAAATGAACAGACATTTCTCAGACAAAGAAGTAAAAGCAGCAAGAAAATATTTGAAAAAATGTTCCACATCACTGGTCATTTGAGAGATGCAGATGAAAACAACACTGTGAGATTCCACCTCACCCCACAAAGAATGGCTGCTATCAAGAAATCACACAATAACAAATGTTGGCGGGGTTGTGGGGAGAAAGGAACCCTTCTCCATTGTTGGTGGGAGTGCAGACTGGTGCAACCACTATGGAAATCAATATGGAGATACCTCAAAGAGCTTGGACTGGAGGTTCCATTTGACCCAGCCATCCCTCTGCTGGGTATCTTTCCAAGAGAACTAAAAGAATCATATCACAGAGAAGTATGTGCACCCATATTTATAGTGGCACAGTTTGTAATAGCTAAATCTTGGAAACAGCCCATTTGCCCATCCATTGGAAACTGGATAAAGAAGATGTGGTTTTTCTATAAAATGGAATATTACTCAGCCATAAAGAATGAGAAAATAGATTCATTCATAGGAAAATGGATACATATTGAAGATATACTCCTAAGTGAAATAAATAAGTCACACATGTGTAAATATCAAATAGTTTCCCTGGTGTGAATAATCTGCAACAATGCATAAGATTCTAATAAGATTACTGACATTTAGAAATGGGAAGAAAGGACCTAAAGGTGTAGGGAAGGTAGGATGGTTAGGGGAAGAGTAAAAAGGGAAAAGAAAAAATGTGAGAGAATGAAAAGATGAAAAATAAAGTGTAGATGGAGAGGGGAGGAGGGGGTGAAGGGAGGGCAGGGGTAAGGGGAAAAATGAGAATCAAGACTTGTCATGTAGAGGTACAAGATCCCAACAATGGATGTAACTGTACTGTATCCCTAAAATGTACCAATAAACTCAATTAAAGCTGAAAAAAAGTAAATTAAAAAAAAAAAGAAAAGAAAAATGGCAGAAGATGACATGAAAAGAAAGCTGAAATGGAAGAAATAGTACCATTGGAATTGAGTGGAAGATGTTTTGAATATTCTTAGTTTCACATTTGTGCTATTCTAACAGTGGAGCAAGTTATTTAAGAGGGGAGGAGACCTAGGCCCCAAAATAAACTTTCCTTGAAACCAGAGGCAAATGTAGCCAGGGACACAAATGGAATCCTGACTTTGTTCCCTCACTAAAATATGAATAAGCAGAATTTGGTGTCACGTAAAGTAGTCCATGCAAAAGAGGACATTTATTACCTTTTGTGATACACAGGGACTAAAACAACCATCATGAATACCTTTGAGAAGAACTCATGGCCCGCATTTGGAGAGATCTCCAGGGCAGACTAGCTGCGGGAGGTGTAGAACACACATTGCGTGCTCTTGTGTCCAGATGTGTGATATGTACAGCTGCAGGTGGATGCATGCATAGAAAAAGAACTGAGAGCTGAGTAGATAAGCAAAAATATTTGGAAAGGGAGATAGAAAAAGGATGCTTCTGTGAATGTACTCCCGATGTTTCTGTCTTTAAATTTCACATGCGTGCACCCATTTACACACATGCACACGTGCACACACACACAGTTTTTAAAATACCAGAAAACAAGGGAAGCAAAAATTGAGGGTCTCAGTGAAGAATTGAAGTGTGACTAATAAATAGGGTGAATGTTTAAATAAAACATTTTTGAACACTTTTACTTGAAAGGAAAACAAGATGGGTTACCTGTATTGTTACAAAGATTAATCCCTAAGAGAACATGGTGATAAAAACTTGACACAAAATAAATACCTGTATGTCGTTGTAATACTAAGTATCTCACTCTCCTCCAGTCTTTGTGCAGACTTTTGAGTTAAAAATGTTTCCAGTGAATGCTTTAGTCATTACATTGTACTTAGTTTTTGAATTTATTAGTGATACTCATTATTTCTACTCTACTGGTTTTCAGAGCTTTTAAAAAAATTAAGAAAAACAAGTGGAATCATCACATTTTATTTGTGGGACACTCCTGAATTTGTCTCTTTTTATTACATGATGCAAAGTATATAAGTAAACTATAGACATGTAAATATAGTGAGGTTTTTCTTTTTGTCTCAGGAAGACTATGATCGTCTGAGGCCTTTATCCTATCCAATGACTGATGTCTTCCTCATATGCTTCTCCGTGGTCAATCCAGCCTCATTTCAAAATGTGAAAGAAGAGTGGGTACCGGAACTTAAGGAATATGCACCAAATGTACCCTTTTTATTAATAGGAACTCAGGTACGTCTGCTCTGATTTTATCAGGTCAAGTGTAAGTTCTGCAGCCAGTGGGGGTGGAGGGGTGACTCTCAGACAAATGGTCCTAAGGTTAGCAAATGATGTGTTTAGATTGAGATGCAGGCTAATAAGTTCTGTCATATTTTTAGAAAAAAAATAGTATCAAAATAAAGCAGTTATATTAGTAACTTTAAACAATACTTCTTTTTAGTATTGTGGGTTTGATTTTTTTGTTTGTTTTTTTGTTTTTTGTTTTTTGTTTTTTTTTTTTTTTTGTTTT